TTGCAGACAATGAATCAAATATTTTGCCATAATTTAAGTATTTTTAACAAAATATTTGAGTTTGCTCTAATTTGAAAAAGTATGCAACTGTAATAATGAAATAGCAGATATGCAATGAAGTTCAATGAACTCATGCAATTATATTACATGTTTCTACATGCAATTAAAATAATAGTTATGTGCCTCGTGCTAAACATTAATATATCATATTAGATGAATATAAATTACTATGACACAAAATGATAAAAGTTAAATGAAACATTAGACAGAAAATAAACCTATAGTAATCTATGTATGTGTAACGCTTCAAGTAAATTAATGTTTATACGAAAATATTCGACACAAAATAAGAACGCAAAGTTTATAGTAACCCTTACAACAATAATAATTGATCATGTACAAAAAATTGTAGTGTGAAAATAAAGACCGAAGAAAAACAGCTAAACATCGAGAAAGCTTTATGCCTCTTTCATGTATACAGTGCATCAACGAATGTAGCACGATATCGTACAATTCTGATCGAAATTAAAGTGCCAAAGTTAAGTATCAATATTGTTAAACTAAGGTACAGGCAAATAATTGATACGAAAGTTGGGAGGTCCTGTTTGAGAGAATCGGAATTCAGTAATAATTAAGAGGGACTCACTCTAGCATACACGTTAATCCCATTCTCCTGGACATTCCATGTAAATTTACTGCACGAATGTTCGCTTAATCGTTATCTTGGTGTCCATTTTGTTTGGTTAATTACTGAAGAGGCGTCAGTGCTGCCGTCGATTACGTTGACACAACATAATGGCTCTTCCGTGATTGGAGCACAGTCAAAAATTCCAGTTTCTCGAAAAGATCCGCGGAGAACCGCATTAACTTTAACGCGTTTGTAATATCACTATAAAAAGCTTAAAATGCAATTGAAAACTTTTTAATAAACGTATATGTACATTTCTATTTATATTTCACATATTGACCACTCCATCTTTTCGGCAATAACCCAATTTCGTAAACGAATAGACAAGAAACGAAACGCTTTCCCTTATATCTGCATCGATGGTGTCGAC